ATCTTATATATCTGGAGGATTGCTGGGAGCTGCAGCTGTTGTTGTTTATTCATTGCTGGGAGCTGCAGGTGTTGTTGTTTATTCATTCAGTCGCTTCCAACTCTTCGTGATCTCATGGTCACGAAGAGTCGGAAGCTCCCTGTCGACCGTCAGAGCTCCCTGTTAATCGTCCCCACCCTCGGCTCCTTCAGAGTCAAGCCAGTCGAGGAATAGAAAATAGGAAATATGTACAGATTGGGATGCCCTCAAAGAAATCCAAGGAGAAGCAAGCTTGCAGCTTGGAAGTAGTACATTTAGAACATCCTCCTCCCCTAAAGGACCTGGTCTAGGAAATGCTGGGAGTTGTTTTCGCGCATGCGCTATATCGTCATTTGGCTTTTTTGGGTTTTTAAGTCCTTTCTGCTGTTTTTTGGGAGGGGTTTATGAGTGATGGTCACTTGTTGGTCTGTTAGGGGTGTAGTGTCCAAATTTCGTGTCAATTCATCCAGTGGTTTTTGAGTTATGTTAATCCCACAAACGAACATTACATTTTTATTTATATAGATTTAAAGTGGTCTTTCTTTGTCCATTTGGGTAAACTCCTTCAGCAGCTCATGAAACTGTGTGTCTCTCTCTTTCACTCTTCAAACTGTCTCTCTCTGCACTTGCATAGCTCAAGACTGAACAAAAAATGTAACAGTAACCAAAAGTCCCAGGCTCAGCCTGCTCCATGGGCATTGCCCAACCAATCAGCTTCATGCAACTTATTCTACAGTAGATACACACACATTAACTGATTCACTGCATGCTCCAACACTGTTGTGATGCCATTTTGGCATGTTGTGGCTTATTTGCCTGGAGCAAGGAGTAGCTGCTGGGCAGAAAAAGAAAGAAACAGTTCCATTTTGGAGAGTATTACAGAAGACCCTGTTAATACCCTCAACTGTTCCTTTGGCTCCTTTCTAAAGAAACCCAGCAGCAACGTCAATGATTAAGGCTTTGTTGTAATCTCAGATTTGGCAGCCACCATCCCTAAACTTAGACAGGGGAAAGAACACAGCAGAGACTTGGTGTTCTTTATTTCTGCCAACTTTCATTCCCTCTCGTCCTTCTTTGGGGGCTTCCTTATTTTAGCCGAAAGGAGGAACTGCTGTGGGGTTGGCTGAGAGACGCTGCCCAGGCCTGTTATCTTTTGAAGAGCTGCCGTGGATTAATAAATGGCATCCAGCAATGAAAAAGACCTGGCCCTTAAAAGTTTCCCGAATGAAAGGCCTCTCTCTCTTTTCTCTTTCCATCCCTGGAGTCCGCAGTCTCACTGTCTGCCGGTTAAGATGCAACTCTGCTGCCAAAAGATAAAAAGCGGAGCTCTGAGAAAACAGAGCAGGTCTTGAGAGATCTTGTCTCCAGCACCCAGGTTACCATTGGAAACATGAAGCAGAAAAGCTGCAAGAAGGGTACAAGCAATATCCAAAGGGATATTTTTTGGAAAAAAAATAATTTTTTTTGGAAAAAAAAATCTAAAATAATCCTAGGTTTTGCATAGATCCCCTGTGCCTTTCTGGGTGAGGCTTGAGCAGATGCTGAGACAAACTTTGGAACAGAATCCTTCCTGGATTTACATATTAACATGCATATGCCCCATGGAACCTAGAATCCATGGCAAAGGGGGTTTATAGCGATCTTGATAAGAAAAATCCTAGCAATCTCAGGCATATTATCTGGGGGAGCCCCCGGAGAAAGGTAGGAAATAATAATAATAGTAATAATAATAATAATAATACCAAGAAGAAGAAGAAGAAGAAGACTGATGACAATTCACTATGCATTACACCCGCGTAGTGATGTCAACAGAATTGACCTGCCCAGAAGATCAGGAGGCAGAGGGCTTCTGCAAGTGAAACAAAAGGTAGAAGAAGAGAAACATGCCCGGACAGATGATGTGTGACAGCGCGAGTGGTGCCACCTATGTATAGAACTGTTAGTTGCAAGATTTAAACTGTTGTATCATGCTTAATCCTGCCCCTTTTACCCTGCTTATGTATAGTTGTATGGATTGGTTACTTATAGCTGTCAATCAGTAGTTTGGCTCCACCCCTTCCTGCAGGAGGGGAGAGCTTCCTTTTCTTTCTCATTCTGCCATCAGAGTTCCTATCATATGGACATGAATAAGAGACTTGACTCTAAAAGACCCTGATTTAAGTTACCTCTTAGCATCAACTCTTGAGGTTTTTTTTACCCTTGGTACTCATGCTTTATGTCCAGATCGTCCTGGACAACATTGAGGAAACCCAAGCACCTTCAAACCGGTTCTTTTGTCACCAAAGGAAGATCCCGAGTCTTCAAAACATAGGCCATCTGAACTGGGGTTGTGGTTTGCTCCGGCATTCATAGCCATTGAGGAAAGAGGAAACTTGGTGAGGCTTCTCAGCTTCAAACCCCTTGGACCCAGGACTAATTAAGACTGTAACGTATATTTTCCTTCACCCCTCTGAAGTTTTCCAGTTCATTGCTTTAAACAAATGACTTTGTGATAAATAAAACTTATTTTGAGTCACTTACAGCGTTTTGGGTTCTTGAAAGTTCCAGTTTCCTATAGGAGGGCAAGAAGCAATCCCCTGGGGGAATAATGCCACGTCCATCCCTCCTTTATAGAGAATAATAGCCCCCAGGCGTGATGGCACACGATGGGAAAGGCAGTCAAGAACCAACAATGAGGGAAGTCAATAGTAGAAAACTGCTTCAAGTGCAAAAGACAAAGAGTTAATACCGTAAAAACACAATGCAGAGCAGAAGAGAAAACTGGCGAAAGAAGGCTCTCCATGGACAGTTCCTGGGAAAAATGGAGAGCCAAATTGACAAGGACAAAACATGGCTGTGGCTCACAAACTGAACTTTGAAAAAGGAGACAAAGGAGGGCCTGATTCTGGCAGCCCAAGAACAAGCCATTAGAACCAATGCCATCAAAGCCAGAATTGAAAAGTTAACAACAGATCCCAAATGTAGACTCTGCAAGGAAGCAGATGAAACAATAGATCACATCCTCAGCTGCTGCAAGAAGATCGTGCAGACAGACTACAAGCAGAGGCACACCGTTGCTCAGATGATTCATTGGAACTTGTGCCACAAATACCATCTGCCTGCAACAAAGAACTGGTGGGATCACAAGCCGGAAAAAGTTACAGAAAATGAACATGTCAAACTACTCTGGGACTTCCGAATTCACACTGACAGAGTTTTGGAGCACAATACTCCTGACCTCATGATCGTGTTAAAAAA